TTAAGGAAAGGTTTGTTATGTTTGATTAAGAGTGCTTCAAGAAAGGCGAGGGTATGATAGTTACTCGATTTAGTTATGTGAGGCTCAGCGAGGCAGCACACTATTCTTGACCTTACATGACGTTCTTGCCTCCTCGTGCCTAGTCCCCGGCCGAGTTATGTGTTGTCTGCTGTTCTATTGACCAAGACGTTGGCAAACGATAAGTAAGGTCCAGGGTAAAGGCAATTTTAAGTTTTTCACTTTTAGTATACGTATTATACATTAAAATTCGAAGGGTATGTTAGAAGTTAAATGCAAATTTGTATACATGCAAGCCAACATACTGCAAATTTCTGATAATAGCGAAATCTTGGTATTCACTAAGCAGATATGCTGAACAAGCCAACATACTGAACTAATAGATGTTACAGGAAAATGGCAATAGATTTTTTTAATCTTAAGATAAAGCTTATCATATAAATGATTAAAAATAGTAAAAGTTTAATCTTTTGGCATTTACATCGGCAGAAAATAACAATTGCTTGTACCCTAAGATATGTATGTTGCACTTCGTCCGTCATCTTGCCCGTCATCCTAATTTATCCACATTTTTATAATTATGACCTCAGAACCTGGGGTGAAGGTGATATGGTTATGGCACGAATTGCAAATATTTTGCACTGTGCTGATGTACTGTGCTGTTTACAGGTGCACAAGAGATAGGAAAAAAGTGTTGAAAAGAAAATGCACTTTTCCTCCTTTCCAAGGCCGGTTAGCAAGAAAGAAAAACGTAGCGGCATCTGGATAGAATTTTGCAAGCGAGAAAGCTTCGTCCCGTCAAAATGCACGTGTTTGTGTTCATTACGTTTTAGTTCAGATGCATATATTTCATCCCATTCTCCCATATCCTTTTAGTATAAATTAAACAAGTAGGTTTTAAATTATATAGTATATTGAATTTATTTTAGTTTAAAATAATATTTTTAGCTAGAATTTAGGTAAAACGAATTAAACCTATAGATAGTTTGATGGCCATAAACTGTCATATATTATTAGTTAGTGCAATTTTTTAAATTTTATAATTAAATATCTATATACTAAGGCAGGTCTTAGTACTAAATTTGTAATAGTAACTTCGGTAGAATATAAGATTGTTTAAACTTAAAGTATAATTTATAATGGATGATGAGCCGGGAACTTCAATGGAGGTTAATCATAATTTGGCAGCAATGACAAGTGGTTGGACAAAAAGTTTAAATTTTATCCCTGAATTTTCATACAAAAAATTGGAAGAGAATTTGGTATGAGATAGTTGAAACACCTGATGGACAGCCTGTTGGAGCAATGAAACACAAAAAAGTGCAGATATAAATTATATAAAGCAGATTATCCAAGGCAGTTTAAGGTAAGGCCAAATGTTCGAAAAGGTTATGAGACAGTGTATTTTCTTGTGCGGTGTAATGTTATGGCTGAAATGAAAAAAAAAACAATATCTTGTCTATGCACACCTCAACCAAAATTCAGGCGATGTAGTATACGCAAAATGTTGCTGCCCTGCTGGTGCGAGTGATCATTGTAAACATGTAGAAGCTACTTTGTTTCAGCTCTTGGATTATATGGAACTAGGCCTTTCAGACATACCAGATGAAAACACATGCACTCAGCAACTGCAACAATGGCACGTGCCCAAGACAAGCAAGACACAACAAGCTCGTCTTTTTGAGGGCTTAACATTCCCACTGGACACAGTTAGCGGACGAGTTACCATCAAGACAGAGAATTATGAGAGCAGAGGAAATGGGAGACAAGCTGGAGACAACAGAAATTAGATCAAGCATTTTAGAGAAATTGGACATATCTTTAGATTATGCATATATTCCCAAAGATGAAAATTGTTTGAAATTTGTGAATGTTAGGTTAAAAGTGAACAATGAGAGGTGTCAAGAGAAAAAAATACCAAAAAATAAAATGAGTGCAGAGAGTGGTTTGATTAAAGAAAGTGTAGGTTAACATCATCAATGTTCGGCACTGTAATCAAGAGAAGGAAGCCCATTTATCCAAACAGTATTATAAAGAGCATCACAAAACCCACAGCTACAAAGAATGCCAGCTGCCAATGGGGAATTGATAATGAACATACTGTTCTCATGAGGTATTATCGATATAAGGACAATATCAAAGAACATGTAGAGATCTGTGCAGCTTGTGGTTTGGTGGTAAATCCAGGGTTGCCATGGTAGGGAGCAAGTCCAGATGCTTTACTTTCAGATGCTAGGGAAGTGTCATTGTATGGGGCTGTGGAAGTGAATCCAAGTCGGGGAAGACCATTGTAGAGGCTTGCAGTGACAAATCATTCTGCCTAAAGTTGGTAGAGGGAAAAACATGTCTCAAAAAGAAACATATTTATTATTACCAATGTCAAGGTGTTATGGGCATTTGCCAGTTGGATTTTATAGCTTTTGTTGTTTACACTGTAAATGACATTCATGTGGAAAGAATTTACTTAAGTAAAGTAGAATGAGAAGAGACTGCTTCACCTGAAATAACTGCATTTTACTTTAAATATTTAATGAATCTTGTGCAGTAGTACCATAATAGCATGTGTTCTCTGAAACATAATTAATAGTTTCAATTCTTGGAAAAAACAAATGTACTTGTTAATTAATGGTACAAAATTATTTGTGTTGAATAATATGTTCATTCCTCATGTTCCCGAATTAATGGCCTGAAAAACAAGGTTAGATATGCGCAAACAACCCAAATCTTGTTAAAATCAGCTGCCATTGATATCGGCAAGTCGTGTTTCAGAATGCGGAAGGTCTTAATTCGCTGTATAGCTCTTTTTACAAGGATTCGATGCTTTATATACTATTCTTCGAGTTTTAACTTCATCAGCTGACAAAACTGTAACTCGTACACAGGTTATTAAGTCATGAATATCAAAGCAAGCATATAAAAATTATGCAAATCCAAGATATCGGAAAATTATTCTTGCGTGAGCGACGGAGTTGAAAATTCATTTTGGTTTTGTTTTGTTTTTGTTTTTTTTTCTATATTTTTTTTATAATTCGTCGTCGCAAGTGTGTTTTGGCGCAAATTATACTAGTATTTGAAATGTGTATGTTACCGTATTTATCTACGTCACAGTTTTGTCTCCCAAGAGTTGTGGTGCACAGCTTTAGCTAATTTCCCGATGCGCGATTTAATTTCGCTCGCATGATACGACAATTCCCCCAAGAGGAACAAATAAACCGTTCTTTCGATTAAGTTTAGATTTAATTGCGGTCAGAATATATGTAATACATATAGATTCTGGTGCAATTTTTAAATAATATTTTTTAATAATATCGCTGCTATTTTGCGGTTTAACAAGTGGTCGTGTATGGGCGCTATTTATAATTTTGCACTCGATTTTGCAATAGGGCAGTCCTTTGTAGATTTTCTCTAAATGTATAATGAAAATGAAAATGAAGGATCCTGCATGTGCATTACAGAGTTTATAGTATACTGGTCTTATTTTTAAACAGGGATCTTCGGATCTTCATGACCCCAAAACGATCCGATTTCGGCAAACCTTCAAAGAAACGAAAATCTATAACTATAAGTTTAATATATTGTAAGTCTTTTATTGTAAGTTTGTTTGTGCTCATTGCATTGTGTTCCCGCTATATTGCTTGTGTAATGCAAGAAATCAGTTGGAACAGGGAATTATTATTGTATTGTGTATGTGCTGTTTGTTCCTATGTAAATTCAAATTTAAGCAATATAGCGGGAAAAGCGTGAAATCTGTCTAATCCCAGTTAACTGTGGTCTAATTTATGCGAGATTACCAGAACATATAAAAGCAAGTGTAAGGCAATATTTTGGTTGTTATTAAAGTAATTTTAGTTTTCCACAAGGTTTTATTTGATTCTTCTTCTGACGCGATCTCGTTCGGATTTGGCACAACACTTGTTACATCACTGAATATACGTCACAGAAAATGAGAGCATTATTAACGCCTATCGACAAAATCGCGTTCTAGAAAAATCGGCTATTTAACTGCATGTGGGGAATATATTATTTTATTATATACGTGAAAAGAGGGGACTCTGAATGTTGACCGCAAAATCTTGTTTTTCAGGTTTGATCGAACCAGTTTGATAAGGGGTTAATACTTTTAACCACCGAGAGTTAAGGCTGCTTTCCACTTACGCGTCTTTTATATGCACGTACACGTACGGAAAATTTTAAATGCTTTTTAATTTTTATTATTTAACATCTAGGTCAACTAATGCATACTAGAATACGCAGAGTTAGTTACTTGAGTTAGTTTTTTCAAAGGTAACATGTATAAGGATTTAGACTTTTACGTGCGTGTACGTGCGTATGAAAAATGCGTAAGTGGAAAACAGCCTTTAATAAAAATGAGACTGTACCTTTGAACCTCAGCCCAATTCTTTTTAAAATGAATAGTTTCTTTTGCCTACGTTTTTGTCGCGTATTTTCAGCCGTTGTTTGACTTGTTTCCTTTAAAACTTGCTATATAATAAAACACTAATTGACTGATCTCTTTAACATCATAATTATTTGTGAACACTCGACAACAATTTTGTGGAATCTCGACAACATTAGTGGTTTTGGGTCAACAGAACATGATTTTTCTCCCGGGATCAGTCAATAAGTTTAAATATTTTACACCTATTTGATGGTTCGGGTTTGTATATAAACATACTTAATATCGAAAATTCACAACGCGAACTTATGGCTTGTCACGCACTGCAGAGAAAATCAATGCGTTAAAACTGGTCTGCATATATTTTCTCTATAAGTGCTTCCCTCTGAGATATAAAATGAATTAAAACGAGAAACAGTACAAAGTTATGCACACTGCTCAATTGCAATATCTGTGCAGTCAAATTTGAAAAATTATTAAGTATCAAAATTAAAAACCAGGCGAGCTATAGCAAAATATTTGGACAATAAAACTCTTGGGGCACATATAACACTCATTTATTGTTTAAGTTTGTATAAAACGTAAATAAATTGACAGATTACTAAAGCAGACTTGAAATACCTGAAATTAATGAAGTTATTATATAAAATAGGTAAAATTAATGAGTTAAAATGTAAAACTTGCTGTTTGAACCTAAAAATTAAAGAGAACTTTTATTATAATTTTATCTTTCCAAAATATTGAATGCCATGATAAAACCGTATAAAGCGAACTATTGTTCGCCAATAGCAATAAACAGGTGATTTGCAAATGCGGTCTTTATTGCCAATAATTTTGAGCCAATAATACCGATGGCAATGTAGAGCAGCAACCAGCCTGACGATTTAGTCATGCTATGCAAATTTTATGTTATTATCATTATTCATTTCCTTAGAAATGCATTGTTTTCAAAGTAAATGAACACCAAATGCAAAATATTAGGATAGCATGACTAAATTGTCAGGCTTCCTACGTCACTGACCTTAATTGTGTTATGCTTAAACATTGAGTCAATCAGCGACGACCAAAACGCCCGCCTCTTCGTCCAACGCTGCGCCCAGCTTTTGCAGGAAAATAATATCGATAAGAATGTGGATTATGATTTGCACCACCAAAATAATAATACAATCTTCTTCCTCCATATATCAGTTTCTGTTCAGGTTTTAAATTGCTAAAATGCATCAAAAATTGTTTTGTAGAAATCGGTATCAATACAAAGTGTAAGAATATATTTAGATAATGGAGCTTATGCATGTGTGTGCCGTGTCTTTGCCAATTCAGTTGTTTTGTTTCTTCAAAAAGATTTAGAATATTTTTTTTCAATTCAGGGCTTACGCTTGAGTCCAGTTTCATGATTGTTCATCTACAGAATTTATCACAGTGCATGGCTATCATCAAACATCTTTTCATCTTCCAAACTTAATAGAAATGAACTTTTATACCATTTATTTCGGCAGATCGAAAATTCTACGTCTCAATTGCCTATAGCCCAATTTCAGCCGCAAATGGGAACAAATAAAGAAGAATAAATGAATCGGCATTAATCGAAATATTTAAAACAACACATCAATTAACAAATTTTAAGGAATCAATACAAGTCATGCATGCATTCACTCCGGCAGCCAAATCATTGTTCTCCAGATCTTTCCAAAGATTGTACTTATTTTTTACTCATTGTTTCTAAATTCCAAGAGATCTATAGATATGCAATACAACTCAACTTTTAGCTGGTGTGCTGAAATCTGCTAATTATATCAATCTGCTAATATAAATATATATATATATATGTATATATATATATATATATATATATGTGTTTTATATGTTCTTCTACAGAAGTATAACCAAACGGGCAAGCAGAAAATTCTATTGGGAATCGAACCCGTGATCTTCGCAATTCTAGAACGATGCTCTACCGTCTGAGCTACAAGGCAAAGTTGGGAACGACTATGATTTTTATATTGATATTGACATTACGGAGTCTCGTCCTTACATGTCGTTGTGTAGTTTTCTGCATGTGTTAATTTATATATATATATATATATATATATATATATATATATATATATATATATAATATATATATATATATATATTTTATATATATATAATATATATATATATATATATATATATATAATAATATTATATATATATTATATATATATATATATATATATATATATATATATATATATATATATATATACATAGCGATATAACGTAAAAGCGCTGTCACTGTGGTGCAAAATGAACTCTTTTCATGATCAGTAAGGGTATAAAAATGTGTCCATTCTAATATAGATGTAGCTAAAGCCTGGCAAGAATTAGTAGGCAAAGTGCTTTATAGCCTTATTGAACACAAACTGAAATTTGAAATGTATATGCATGCAAAAATCCGACTAAATTTTCATACCTCTTCATGTATTTTCGATTGGCAAAGTTAATAACATCTGCGTTGACAATCAAAAACAAGAAAAAGGCGACAAATATGACTGCTGACTTCATGGTAACTTGAATCAAACTAGATAGAAAAAGCTGTTTGATTATATATGTAATTTGGGTGGATTAGTAAATAAAATAACAAAATCAATGATATTATATTGCCAGAAGTTTCTATGATGAGAATCTTTAGTAAAATGTTTTGCACTAATATATTAGTAAATACAGCAGTAAACAAGTACTTACATGAAATTCTGTCAGATATCAGTATCAAATGAACACTCAAACGCGATCTGATAAAGCTAACGTCAAACACGAAATTTTACATTGCCAATTGGAATTCAAGAACAAAGATAAAAAAATCATTTATCATATAGGCTGACTGTTAGGGTGAATTCATGGATAAAAATATTCTTAGAACTCTGCATGTCGCAGCTATTTTAATTGATGTAATCCGGTTTGATTCATTCAACTCTGCTATTTGATATATAATTGTTTAAGGTCATGCTGTTCATTTTCTTTATGGTATTAACAAAGGACGCGACATTGGACGCCACGAAGATGAAAACACTTATAAATTTATAGTTATATGTCGAAACATGTTTGCAATTAAAATATTTCTTAAAATATATATTATTGAAGATATCAAAAAGGCGGTAAATAATTTTGCTCTCAGAAGCCCTTTAAAGGCAAAGATATTAGATCCATCAAACTAATATGAGCATTTGCTATTAAATTAACTATTGCCTTTTAAAGGCAAAAGATATGTCGTGACAAGCGAATCCGCTATCTCGTATAGACGGCGCCTAACGTCTTAATCTCAAGAGCTGACTTCAAAGATGCCAATTATCTTTCTTTAAAACGCTCATCGAAAATATTTTATTTTTTTTTCACAATTGATTCTGCTATAATTTTTTCGAGTGTCGTTGTGCTGAAGATTCAACGGGTAGCCTAATTTTAATGGTGAATGGATAAACATTCCAAATTATCACGCACTACATATACAACACTTTATCCAGTTTGGCTATGACGTTTGGTCACTTTATTTTGACGCTAGTTTGTTCACTCGGAATGATATTTAATAACGCGAGTAAAATTTATGCGTCGGAAGTGGAAATAGATAGCCACTTTGTTTCTAAGGGAAGGGCACGTTTACACAAAATGTTTCATATAGGAGCGAATATACTTAATTAAAAAGGTTAATTGTCCGTCAAAAACCTTAAAGCTTAAAGAGATACAGCAATAAAAATTATCTTAGACTATTTTGAAAGAAGGTCATGTATATTTACAAATTCGTTTACAGATTTTCGTTATCTTTATTACTTCTCAAGATATTTTCGAATGAAATTATCTTCTATCCGTCATTTTGGATATGCATATATTCTTGCTCTGATATGCGTTAGATCATAAGCTAGGTGAAAATTCGCTTTGTTACTTCAAATTAACGATCCAGCGAAGTATAGTTTTATGGTATTACATGCAATAGCACGCATCTGAAATTATAGCAAATGAATTGTAAGAGTTCTAAACTAGAGCGTAAACTTTTATACTTGTTATTTTTTAATTATCAACCCTGCTTTTGACGTCAAGTAATTTGATTTCATCATAAAACAAGATGGCGGATACATCTCTATAGCCGCCGATGTTTTTGATCTTCAATATCTTGTGAAGTATGAAAGATATAAAAATTTTGTAAAAAGGCTTTGTAAGAAGTAAAAATTTCTTTTCAACAAGGCAGAAATATTTTTTATTGCCATATCCTTTTAAAGCCCATAAGCGCAAAGAATGGAATTCTAATTATATATTCTAATTCATTTAACAAGGCTTCTTACAGTTGGTACAGTTTGATTCGATATTTATATAGATCTGGCGCGCGTGGAATATTCACGATTCACAATTAACAGATTGCTTTTAGCCTGAATATGCATGGGCAGAAAAAATGCTTTTTCACAAAAAAAAACATAAAAACGTTTAGAAAATGTTGCCAATTCAACGCGAAAACCGCCAAGTACCCAAACGCAAAGATCTGGTTTGAAAACAATATTTCAAAAAACGAGCCAAGGGTTAGAGGTTTTCTTACATTTGCCATCCTAAACGTATTTTTCTTCGACCAAAATTACTAACTGAATTTTTGTTTTTTTTTGACGGTTGCACGCTTTATTGCGCCCGAAAACACTTTACGATGTCCTTAACGGTCAGTGATTTCACTTTTGCGTGGACTTGAGGGTTTCCCTGAAATAAAAACTACACTTTGCGGTGCTATTTTCTCTCTCATTTGCACGGTGGCCATATCTCGAATTGTTTAGGTATAGTTATTCGATTAAGTTAAACTCAATTTCTAAATTTGAAAAATATCGCTAGTGTAGTTTTTGTGAAACTAATTTTTGGCTTTAAGAAAAAAATACACTGGTGATTCTGAAATGATTTTCCCAAAGGATTCAAAAGATTATTATAAATTTATTTCTACAATAAGGAAGGTAGGTCACTGTCTTAATCCAAACTTTGATACGCACTTAAAACAGTAGGCAGCCTCCTCAAGTGTTCGCTACAAGGAGTGGGAATCAAGCTATTATTAAATTTTGAATGCAGAACTAAAAACGGATGATATGACGACATCTCAGCAAATTTTTGCATTGACGTTTTGTATTCCAAAAAAACTTGTGAAATACATAATCCCCGAGCCGGTGCCGAGCACCGTGCGAGGGTACTACTTCCGCCCGGGTATTAGGAAATACACCTGGAACCCGGGAGTACATAGCGGAATTCAAAGTTGTCCTGTCATGGACAGTCAACCTTGGACAATTGATGTTCAACCTCATTGAAAGCTTGCATTTCATTTAGACCTAAGACTGTGAGGGTACACAGAAAACAAATTTTGATTTTCATTTCTGAAACATGAAAACTTTTAAACTTTTCGAACTAATTTTCGAGGTTTTTTTAATTTTGGCAATTCAAATTTAGCAAAGAATCATTATTCTGCAGCCCCGAGAAAGTATTCGTAGTGTAGTGGTTATTACGTGCGCCAAACACGTGCAAGTTCCCCAGTTGGTTCGTGGGCCGAAACATTTCGCTTTAATCCCCTCTTTTGAACACAGGATAATCGTTTTTGGAACACAAGTTATCGCCCAGCAAGATTTCAGACTCGAAGGTGTATACATTTTATCTCCGAGCCGGTGCGGAGCACCGTGCGAGGGTACTAATTCCGCCCGGAGATTAGGAATTACACCCGGGACCCGGGAGAACATAGCGGAATCCAAAGTTGCCAAATGTCATGGACGTTCAATGGTCATGGTACTTGTGCGCATGCGCGAAATACGAACGAGTGTAGACTGGTAATCAGCAACTTCCTGATTGGCTAAGACGAAACGTTTGTGTTTCAGTGAGAAACGTCAGCAATTTAACTGTCATTTTGCAAACTATTTTTTAAAAAATGTTTCGAAAACAAAATATGAAATGTGGAATCAAATAACAGATAAAACACTGGAAAGAGTTTAAAATATTATCAGAACTGGAGGAATTAGCGGTGAAATGGAACAACTCGATTATAATCCTTGAAATGGTAGGTGTGTATTTTGTTTATTTCGAGGTTTATTTCGTGTTTGCTGTACGAATACATTTTATGACCTTGGTACAGTATGTCGTTTTGCTCGGTTTTGCGAAGACGAGACCGACTATTTAAGGCTTTACATCATCGTTTTAACTTCCAAAAGAGTCCTTAAAAGTGTAATTCGGAGTTTTAATATAACAAATATCACTTTAAAGGTTTATATATAGTCGACTGCAATCACTGCGTGAATTTAATAATCGACTAGAAAACAACATTCGACGTTCACTGCTTGGTTATTTATATTACTTGGGCTTTTTGATATTTTGAAGGTTTAGCTATAATGAAGTATTAACAGTCACTTAAACTGTGAAAGTCTATAACTTAATGCAACGGAAAGCAGCAGGAAAATGGGTGATTTCACTTCACCTTTAGTCTTTACGACTGTGTTTGTTTCCGAAATATTTGAAACATAAGCTATCGGCTTTACATTTAGGACATTTCATAATATTGAAGGTTAGGACTGGCTAGCTCAGGAAATATTTTGCTTCGCTTGAAATGGCGAGGGGTTGCTGCATGCATGTATTTCTAGTTTAGACCTATAACCGTTAGTGCTGATAGAAAAATATTTTAAATTTTAATTTTTGAAACGTAAATACTTTTAAATTTATCGAACTAAAATTCCGAGGTTTTCATATTATCCCAATTCAAACGAAGGAAACATTTTTTGCAGCTACGTGAAAGTTTCCGTAGGGTAGTGGTTATCACGCGTGCGCCTAAAAAGCGCTAGGTCATAATATGGAAAGCCATAGCTGTCTTAAGTGATCAATCGTCATTTCAATCGGTGCTTCTAACATTATACGCAGTGCTTCTTATTATATGCGGTGCTTCTAGCATTATATGCGGTGCTTCTAACATTATATGCGGTGCTTCTAACATTATACGCGGTGCTTCTAACATTATATGCGGTGCTTCTAACATCATATGTGGTGCTTCTAACATTATATGCGGTGCTTCTAACATTATATTCTGTGCTTGAAACGTTATACGCGGTGCTTCGAACATTATACCCGGTGCTTCGAGCATTATATGTGGTGCTTCGAACATTATGTGCGGTGCTTCGAACATTATGTGCGGTGCTTTGAACATTATATGCGGTGTTTCGGACATTATACGTGGTGCTTCGAACATATGCGGTGCTTCGAACATTATACGCGGTGCTTTTGCATCATTATGTGGTAGTGAGCCAGTATGTTTGGGTAGCGGTTAATATTTTGTCCAGGCAATTACTTCATTTAACTTATTCTCATTCAATCGCAAGTTACAAAATGGCGTCCGAAATGGGTTCTATTTTACGCAAGCTAAAACTGGATTATTTTATAGAAAAATTCAATAGTGAGAAAATAACGCCTGATTTGATTGGAAAGCTTTCTTTAAATGATTTTAAAGAGTTGGGAGTGCAAAATCGCAATGATATAATGACATTACGAATGGAATGTTCCAAGTACGGGTCGAATAAACCACCCAGATATAGGCGAAACGAATGTGGCGCGCCTGTGTTTGAAATCCCAAGGTCTGTTTTGGAGTGTTACCTTGAGCAAAATCTAACCATAGAGGATATCTCTAAAATTCTATCAGTCTCAGAGAGCACCATTTATCGTCGAATGAGACAGTATGGTCTGAGTAAGATGGAGTTTTCGAGTATTTCAGCAGACGAATTGGATCGAGTTGTTAGAGAAATTACCAAGGAATTCCCTCACTCTGGCGAGGGTTAATAAAGCAGATGCTGCTCGGAAAAAACATCAAGGTTCAACGCTGGCGGTTACGTGAAAGCCTACATAGAGTTGACAGCGAAGGTATTGCCAAAAGAAAGAGAGGGCGTTTGCAGAGAAGGGTTTATAATGTACAAGGACCAAACCACCTATGGCATATAGACACCAATCACAAACTAATCCGGTGGAACCTCGTTATTATAGGTGGTATTGATGGCTTCAGTCGATTGCCAGTCATGTTAAAATGCACTGACAATAACAAGGCAGACACTGTTTTGTCATGTTTTGTGGATGCTGTCAATGAGTTTGGCCTACCAAACAGAGTTCGCACTGACAAGGGTCTGGAAAATGTTGGTATAGCTGAATTCATGATCCGAAACCGTGGAGCAAATCGTGGAAGTGTGATAGCTGGTAAGAGCACGCACAATCAGAGAATTGAGCGCTTATGGAGAGATGTTTACGAGGGTGTTTTAAGCTTTTTCTACCAACTTTTCTATTTCATGGAGGAAGAAGGTATACTCGACATACTGAATGAGTCACACCTGATGGCACTTCATTTTGTTTATGTGCCACTTGTTAACAAGAAGTTAAACCTTTGGCAATCAGCTTGGGCTCACCATCGAATGCGCACAACAAGGTCGACACCTGCACAACTTTGGTTAACTGGCCAAATCAACAACCCTATGGGGCTTGACGCCACTCCTACCCCAATGCAAGATGATGATAATGATATTGACAATGACCTTGAGGATGGGAATGAGGAGCAATTGCAGGGAGATCGGCCTATATTTCTTCCACTGTTGACTGGACTGCCAGATGCATGTCTGAATGAACTGAACTCCCAAACCTGGTCAGCAGCAAATCATGGCATCGATGGCTATGTCCAAGTGTTGAATATTATAAGAAGACATGATGTCTAACCAAATGCAAGAAAGAATTGTAGTGAAACTTAGTTCATTATGTGTCTACTAAACAGGGTATTGGGAAAGGGAGAGATGCCTGGGTATCCATTATGTTGGGTAAACATTATGTTGGGTAAACATTATGTTGTGTGTCTAAAAGTTCAATTCATAAATGCCTTATAGATTTAGATACATTGTTGTGCTGTATTATAATTTCAAAGAGCTATTAATGCTATTCCATGTATTCTTCTCTAGACACAGTGTATCTCACTTAAACAAATAAACAGTATGAATAACAGTAAAGTCAAGAACAAAGACAATATTATGAAACATTTTTGAAAACAATTAGTTAGAGCGGCTGACTTTTGACTTTTTCACTTATACAGATGTTCACTGCAGTGTCTCTCAAGTTTAGGCATTACCAAAGTAGGCATTTGCAATGGCAAAATCGAAGAGGTTAAAGAGTCGGTCAGGTTCTGGCAAAGGAATAAGGGATGTTGCATGAGGTATAACCAAAGAACATATGCAGGTATTTGCAGTGGGGACAAACTTGCCAATACTCTCTACTTCTGCAAAGGTGATGCTTGGTTTAACTGTAAAGCCTAGTATAGGCTCTTCGTCAGCACATGTCGCAAACATGAGAATATGGGCCAAGCTGATCACACCCCTCCTTCCACCTAGAATTAGAAATAAAGAAATCATAAATTTGATAATCAATACTACCATAACAGGTTTGTCAGCTATTGTCTAATTTTCTATACATTCTTATAATCCAATTATCCAGACCACTTTTTAATTAAACAAAATATCATCAATATTTTGTGTGTGATTCAGGCCATGCTTATAAGAAACCAAACATTACTGTATTCACTTACCAGCAACCAATCTTATATACTTCATAAATTGTGCATACACTTCATTCTCAAATCGTCTTCGATTAGAACCTTGCTCACTAAATCTCGGATTCAATAAACTGACCAAACTTCTGACTGTCAAAGTGTATGGTGGACGCTTGAATATTTCCAAAAATGTCGGTAGTAGACACCCAAGCTATAAGACACATATAAGTATTATAAAGCATTATTTACTAAACAATCAAAATAGTGGAGGTAAATATATTAATTCACAAAAATAGGATAACTCACCTGGTAGATTCCAACTTTCTTAAAACCTTCTTGCAGTTCAGCAATACATGCTTCAGATGATGTTTCAGAAAAAACTTTTTTTACAATGTCTTCACCAAGGAAAACTGGAATTTTTCCATTTTGAATTATACTCAATCCTATTGAGAAGACAAGCTTTCATTGCAATACCATAAACCCTGCAGCCATTCAAGTCTTGGGATCAGTGGCAAGGGGTGGGACATTTGTCTCCCTCTCTTATTTTATTGTCTTCCCCCTAGTTTGCTCCCCCAGAAGATGTAAAGATGTAAAGAATCAGTTAACTAGTTCACTGCCAAAGGTCCTTGTAATATGTAATTGAATCAAAATATAAAATTTGATAGTTTGTGGTATGTAACTCACCTAATATTATTCCAATGATTGTATATGTTTCCCTCAACAATTCTCTTAGGCCGTTGTCAAAGTAAGTCTCTTTAATTTCACCTAGGATCAATCTAAAGAATTCTTTTCGTGGTCCTCCATAATCTTCAGCCACCTAGTTTTGGATAGCATATTGAAATGTAATATAAAGTATCTCTTCCATCATATAAGATTAAAGCACAATTACGCTATTAGAAATAAGAAATTTGTAAAATGAAGGTTTTTATCGCACCGTATGTAAATTTGGGTCGGAACAGTGAACTATGAGTCGGAAAGGACATGTGAGCTAAGCATTGATATATTTTAGAAGACATGAAGTATATTGGATTTCCTTTTAACACCGCTACCCAAACATACTGGCTCACTACCACATAATGATGCAAAAGCACCGCGTATAATGTTCGAAGCACCGCATATGTTCGAAGCACCACGTATAATGTCCGAAACACCGCATATAATGTTCAAAGCACCGCACATAATGTTCGAAGCACCGCACATAATGTTCGAAGCACCACATATAATGCTCGAAGCACCGGGTATAATGTTCGAAGCACCGCGTATAACGTTTCAAGCACAGAATATAATGTTAGAAGCACCGCATATAATGTTAGAAGCACCACATATGATGTTAGAAGCACCGCATATAATGTTAGAAGCACCGCGTATAATGTTAGAAGCACCGCATATAATGTTAGAAGCACCGCATATAATGCTAGAAGCACCGCATATAATGATAGAAGCACTGCGTATAATGTTAGAAGCACCGATTGAAATGACGATTGATCACTTAAGACAGCTATGGCTTTCCATATTATGACCTAGCGCTTTTTAGGCGCACGCGTGATAACCACTACCCTACGGAAACTTTCACGTAGCTGCAAAAAATGTTTCCTTCGTTTGAATTGGGATAATATGAAAACCTCGGAATTTTAGTTCGATAAATTTAAAAGTATTTACGTTTCAAAAATTAAAATTTAAAATATTTTTCTATCAGCACTAACGGTTATAGGTCTAAACTAGAAATACATGCATGCAGCAACCCCTCGCCATTTCAAGCGAAGCAAAATATTTCGTAGTGTAGTGGTTATCACGTGCGCTTCACTCGTGCAAGGTCCTCAGTTTAATCATGAGCTGAAAAATTTCGCTTTCTTTCCCTCTTTCAAAGACACAATTTTAGCATTTTTGTTCTGCTGAATGTTCTTTGCGTGTTTCCGTAGCTGCCTCGTCCACAGGTTCTTCTTAATTTTTGGCTTATTTCATGTATTTATCAGTTTTACATCATTGAAGTAAGTGGGGACGAGGCAGTTTTCGTAGTGTAGTGGTTATCACGTGCGCCTAACACGTGCAAGGTCCCCAGTTCAATCCCAGGCGGAAACTTTTCGCTTTCTTTCCCTGTTTTAAAGACACAATTTTAGCATTCTTTTTCTGCTGAATGTTCTTTGAGCGTTTCCGTAGTGTAGCGGCTATCACGTGCGCCTAACACGCGCAAGGTCCCCAGTGCAATCCTGGGCGGAAACTTTTCGCTTTCTTTCCCTTTTAGGCCGTATTCTGTGGCCGATTATCGTTCAGTTTCGTTGCCCTCCTTCGGGCACTACAGCATGAAAACACGATAGAAAATTAGGATAAATTATAGAAAGTCTAAATTCACTTGTTTTCACCTTCACAAACCTGCAGTTTTCGAGCATTTCATCTTCGAAAAATCAGTGAATTTGTATGTTTAGAATTACACCGACGCCATTTTGATTCAGAAAAGGTCTCGCGTTACTTGGTGTAATATACGACATATATAGCAGATTCAGCAGTTTTATACCGGTATTTACATGAAGTTTCCGGCATTTTTGCTGTGCAAGCAGGTTTCAACAAGGAAGCCTTGAGTGGAGTTTTACGAGGTTTTCCGCAAATTTTCATAGTTTTTCAAAACTAAATTAGTCAGAGAAGACTTAGACAACAATTAATCAGAAAAACATCCGCCAGTTTGCGATTTTTTTATAGCATTCTGCTCTTGGAATTTACAAATAAATAAGAACAACTTTATTTACACGCATCAAAATCATCTACGAGCGTTTTGTTTCTAGTCAATTTGTGTAAAATAATTACTACACAATTCCTTTCCAGCATACCCTTTGTTTTATATTAACTGCTTTTATAATACACACGTTTCCTCAACAAAACTATCTACAACATCTCAGTTTTTGACAAAGTTAATTACCAACGCCAACATCTATTTAAACGTGATCTGCAACGTACAACTACTGTACATGTTAAAATATTAAACACGCATACCAAGGATGATATCAGCCATACGCTTTAATACCAGTGTGGGAGAATTATGAGCGCCTTATAATTTTAAAAAATAAATTGTTGAACTCAACCCTTTTAATCAGACAGCTGATACCACAACTCATCATCGACGTCATCTCCGAAATCCATATTAGATCCGATCCTAATCCTTCAAGCTCATCATCGTCATCAGATTGAGCCAGGCCATAATTGCTATCATCGTCATTACCATCTTCAACTATTGCATTCTGGCAATCACCACACGAACATAGGTCGGTGTACTTTAAGTCAGCCTTTTTGCAGGAACAACGCATGGTCGAGCATCTAGAGTCTTGCACTTGCACTCAACACACTCAATTAAAGATCGCGGAGCGGGTGGGCGGTCATCCAAGTTATCTCCAGCTATTTATCGTCAAGCGTCAAGCCATTGCCAACCAGTGACGAAGATCGACTTCTGCACTTAAACACTGATACCATGATGCTGCTTGATTGCTAATGCCATTACCGGTAAAAGCATGAAAGCCTGGTAAACAAAGAGCAACATCCACGCCCAAGAATCTCGAGATAATTGTTACAAATACGCAACGACGTCTATCTCCCGTGCCAGTCAAAGAGAAAATCTCTTTCTGCATCTGTTGTTGCATGGCAATCGCAGGTATAAGAACATCTGTATCAGGGCTTTTGATAATAACTTTATCGTACGTTGCTGCTGCGTAGTTGGCATGTAGAATTAACCGAATGTCTGCTTCTTCGTGGTTGCTATGAAGCGAAGACACCTCATCACTTGTAACACTATGTTCACATAAAGAAAAATATGAAAGATTCCTTGTTTTCACCGCATCTTAAACACTTTTAGCACTGTTTTGGAACACTCTGATCTTTTCCGAAGATTTGAACTTTCTGGACTCCTTTTTCACTTTTCAGCTCTTCGTTGTCTCTCTGCATTCTATATGCTCAAATAAGGATACCTGTCTGCAACAATCTAATCGTTTGGAATTATACTTTCGTGCTAACGTGATGAGGTTTTTAAAAGAGCATTATCGCCAAAATGTTTTCCATTTTCCTTTCATCGACTGAATAACTGCCATAGCATCTACAATCAGTGCATAGTTGTTATAAATTATGGTGTATGGAAAACCCTCGTAGTTCACTGAGTTTATATCAAACCCCCCCAAAGTATATATTGACAGAAAGCTTATAAAATGAAGAATCTAAAGAAGCTATTTACTGCACACAATAACCTATATTAAGGTGGCTCTGGGCCGATTGCCAAATTTTCGACTGGGCTATATTCAAGAAAGGATTGCACTTTCTGTATTTAAATGATTTAATTGATTTTTATCTTTAAATTAACTAACACATAGTGATTTCTGTTTTGAGCATAGAGAATTTGTATAGATTGAATAATAAAAAAGTTATGGCCAATCAGATTTTAGCATCGAATTATAAAATATTGAAAATGCCATAACTCTCAAAATATTTGTCATGAAGTAAGTTCCTATGCTTAAAACACAATGATGACTGAGTGGAAAAATCACTTAAAATTTCAGCCAAATCTGTATTAATGTACTTGAGATATCTTTTCTCAACCGTTGAGCCAGCTAAAGTTTAGTATGTCATCATCTTACCTAGTTAAGGCCTTATTTTGAAAGTTCTAACAAACTATGTGATCCCTGTAAGAAGTACCTAGAAGGCTCCTGACTCATATGTCACTCCTTCAGCTTTGCGGAGGGTTTCTTCTCTTCTGACGCGCAACAGCTTCATTCCTTGGCGTCGCTTCTTCTACTTATCACTTGCTTGCAGATCAGACTTCTTCATTTTCTGCTGGTCTTTTGCATCACAGGCTTTCTTTGTGTTGTTCCTAGCAGGAACAGAGAGCCTCTTCATCGCCTTCATCCTACTTTCAGATCCCTTGTGGAAATGACAAACTGCAGCAGCCACAGCACAACAAACTGCCTTGTACCCATGGTGCCTATGTTTTCGACACTGAGCCCAAACCAAGGCATTGAGGCTCTCTTTCTGATTCTGAGATCAGTGCCACTCAGAGTCATGAATGTTAGTTTTAAAACATCTCGGAACACTGGCGGCAGGCAGTCTTTGTCATCATAGGTGGAGGTTTTCATCGCTTGATCCTGTTGCCATTTGCACCATGAAGATTCAAACATGGCAAAAGCGATGCTGTTGGGCAAGAGATTGTCCTTTCACACAATGGTGCAAAATAGCAATAATGTTCTTTTTCATTGCATAAACTGCCACATCAATTTCTTGCTTTGTTGGATTCAACTTCTTAATTGTGTTCTGCCGTATCGCAAGTCCATAATATTTTTGCAGCTGCAGAACTTTGGTCTCTGTCAACCGCCCACGATCCCCAACAGTTTTCCCATCAGCAAGCTTGCCCTTGGTAGTTGACTTTAAATTCAAAAGGTGCTTCCCCATTTTCTTTTTCACATGGCCAACACAGTCTAGCTTCTCAACTTTCACATCGCTATAGACATCCTCAACGGAACTAAATGCCTTGCTATCACCGTCACTCACCATCCACTTGTACCTCATGTTATGAGTTTTGATTGATCTTTCCCATATGACAACAGCTCCTTCTGACTCCATTGCTGGAGAACTTCCCACAAAGTTAATGTCACATTTGTGAGTCAACAACCATTGCTCGAATTTTTCTTCGGTAACCTTTCCTTTCTTAATGGCACATTTCTGGCAAGCCTTTGACAGTACATGATAGTCCAAAACTTCCCCAGTGTCAACAGAAATGACAAAAACCACACCTGTCAAGGATGTAAAGCCTCTCTTAGCCCAAGTACCATCAAAGGTGACAGAAACATCCAGTACATTATCATTAGTCAGTTCCGGATTTTCATCCAGTATCAATTTACGAAGCCTTTTACCAGCTTGCTTCATCTCTTCCTTTGCTTCTTCTTCAAGAGACCCTATGATGCTTTCAACCTGCTTGTAGTAAGCAGGCTTAGACATAGAAGGCATGTTAAAAATGCTGCAAAAAGATGCCAGGCCTTCATAACCACTGCCAGTCTCCACTGAATGGTAAACAGCACGGCGATTTATATCTTGCGACCGTCCTTGAGTAGCAGCTTTGACTAACGTTTCCTTTTTCTTTTATATGAAGATCTAGGTTTTTCCCCGACCATTTATTTATGTTAAAAAACGAAGATTAAGAAGCGAAGAAATCGTTGCTTTTCAAGTTTGAAAATGCCTATTGCAGTTGGAAAATCTTGATCACAAATTCTGGCTTGGCGTGCCAGCAATCACAGAAATAGAACAGTGCCTGCAGTTTAATACCATGGGAAATACTTTATGTAGTACACGACAAAGGGTACTATGTAAATCATTTGCTTTTGAAGCGCTTGCATGCAACCAATCAAGTTAAAGTGGCAAAAAAACAAAAATTGCCGGATTGGTTGCCATGGAAACGGGCATCAAAAATAAAATAGTGCATATTAAAACCCTGCAAAGTAGATGAAGGATTTTGAATTTTCAAAAATGGCTTGGACACATGTTAAATAAGGTCCCAAAGTTCTTAAATATGTAAAAAATAATTTTTGAATTTTTCCAAAGATTTTAGGTTAACTCCCCCCTTAAATGCACAAACATTGACTTCTGGATTTCCAGATTCATTTTCCAATACTTCAGCAAGTTTAGACTTGGGCCAACTTTGCAGTTTTCACAAGTCCTCTCACATTTTCATAAGGAAAATGTTTGAAATTTGTTCTGTTTCAACTTCGTAAAGATGTCTGGGTCTTTGCTCAACAAATTCGTTTTTAGTGGATTGATGATAATAAGATAAAGGTTATGGTAATTAACTTTGTCAAAAAACTGAGATGTTGTAAAAAGTTTTGTTGAGAAAGCGTGTGTATTATACAAGTAGTTAATAAAAAACAAAGGTTATACTGGAAAGGAATTGTGCAGTAATTATTTTATATAACTTGACTGGAAACAAAACGCTCGTGGATGATTTTGGTGCGTGTAAGCAAAATTGGCGGATGTTTTCCGATTAGTTGTTGTCTAAGTCTTCTCTGACTAATTTAGTTTTGAAAAACTATGAAAATTTGCGAAAAACCTCGTAAAACTCCATCAAAGATACCTTGTTGAAACCTGTTTGCACAGCAAAAATGCTAGAAACTTCATTTACATATTGGTATAAAACTGCTGAATCTGCTATATATATGGCGTCGGTGTATTGCAAAACATGCAAATTCACTGATTTTTCGAAGATGAAATGCTCGAAAACTGCAGGTTTGTGAAGGTGAAAAGAAGTGAATTTAGACTTTCTATAATTTATCCTAATTTTCTATCGTGTTTTCAAATAGTGCCCAAAGGGGGACAAGGAAAATCGTTTTCCAAGCGACTTTTCGTGCCAGAGAATACGGCCTACAAGGTATAATTATTCATTTATGTAATAATATTTTCATCACATTTTATGCTTCACAGAATTCGGGTTACAAAGCGTCATAAAGCAGATTTTAAACTCTCGTTTTAAAGGACAGGTGCAATATCATTTTGTCTTGTATTATTTCATTAAAATTAAGTGTGCACAAGCCACACTGGATACAATCCGTCGTAGAATTGGCATCCTCTGTATTGGCTTGTTTGCAAAAATTCCAAAAATAATTTTAACGCCTTATAAAAGCATCGGTGTCACCACTGTATATAGTGCATTATAGCGCTATAATGTTTTTATCCTGTATATATATTGATAATTATTATTGTTACATTTATTATTATATGGGTGAGAATTTTGTGTTCGAGACATCGATAATGTACGTTGTTAGAGAGGGGCGAGCTCTGTGCGACACTACACGTGAGGACAAACTAATCCTACAAACTAATCTTTGACTGTCTAATCCTATTATTCTGTGTACACTATGCTTACAACTTTGATTATAAAGTTCAGCGCAGTGCAATGATTTTCATAGAAAAGGCAATCTTTCGCATGAACTTTACCAGCCAAATTCCTCTTGGCGTTACCCAAATTTTTTCTCTGTTTGGTCAATGAAGCGATTATTGCGTTCTATATTGATGTATTATTTAAGGATTAATGCACTCTGTGAGTGCATTATCGGGTTTTACATGCACGAGTTCACAAACAAGGAACGAGAACGAGCCCTTTGCTGTATCATCAAAAGAGTTGAGACGTCGAAAAGTGCGTGAGTGGAATAGGAACTGCCATCAGGCCCTTGAGACGATTCTTCCGATTTTAAGCCTTTAAAAATCAAAGCCCCCTTTATCAGCGCAGACGAAGCGGTGAGAATGGAGAATCGTTTTAAGAGCCGGATGGCAGCTCCTATTCACAATTTCTAGAAAAAAGCCCATGCATATAACACGTGTCTAGTTAGTGTAAGTCTTTCAAAAGGATGAAACAATGAGGTGTAGATCTTTGTGCGTCATGCAGCGAAGTAATATCAAAGTGCATGCGTATAGGTTTGGTCAAGAAAAATCACAACTGCATGCGCTTTCCTAGCTGGGCCATGCTGTAGAAACATCATGCAGTTCGTAGATTTCGTTCAGTTACAAGTTTTTAATGGCTATGCTGAAGATAATAGGAATTACTATGCTTGATAAATTTAATAACGATTAAAACTCTCTAAAATACCAGTAAACTCTTCGTACTGAGATACCATGCACCGAGCCGATCTGGCTGTTTTTACCGCATAAAGGAAGCGCCCTTAAGGCGGGCAGGTTTTCCTTGACACGTTTTCTTGACCAGTTCACTTGCTCGTGTGTATGGCAAACAGGCTTTCCTTGCCAAGTTATATTTGCCCGCGTGTACCCGAAAAAGTTTTACGATAATATGAGAATATATTTTAGGATAATATGAGCCATGATAAAATGAGTATTTACGACCGAATCTTAAAAAAAACATAGGTGATAAAACTTGAAAAGCAGCTCGATTGGCTCGAAGATTGTTGCACTGTCTCCTACTGCAAAATAGTCTGCTTTGTCAGTTGCATGCAGGGGTGGATACAGCACTAGTGCACTAATTTGCATGACACGAGAAAACTACTAATTAGAATTATAACCATGCATGCATGCACTCTGTTTTGTAATGCAAATAAGTGCACTAGTGCTGGATCCATCCCAGGTCAGTTGCCTTGAGCCTGGATTTCATTGTATAAGTGGGATTTTGTGGTCAAGAAACTGATGCCTTTTGAAGGTATTATTAACTAGATTTTAGACAGAGAGCATAAAATTAATATAAAGTAAGATGGATGTTTGCGTGTTCAGCTTGATACGCCCAAATTAACAATCGCAATTAAAGGGCTTGATGCCAGCTCATATTCCCATGCATGCAATTTCCGGAGGCAAAAATAGACATTATATGCATAACAATTAGCTAAGTGTCACGTTTGCATGTGAAAGTACGATGAAACAATGAGTTGTTGATCTTAGTGGGTGAGCGAAGTGGCTTTATTAACCTAATATCTATATGCGTACAAGTTTGGTCAACAAAAGCACATATCCCGTTGCGTAGCCCAGCTAAGCCCCATATATATATATATATATATATATATATATATATATATATATATATGCACATCAGCTCGAAGACTTCTTCCAGCTACCAGTCTTAAATTAAGTCGATGCTCAGGAGTTTTTTCCATGCTCAGGAGCAAATAATGGTTTTATACAAAGTTAGATTTGAAAAATATTTTAATTACGGAATGTAAGCTTATGCGTTTGAAGTGCAAATAGACAATAGCATTGCTGGCACAATATATAGGCCAGTTCCTGTATAATGAAGACTGATTTCTTTGAACGGAAACCAACACTTTCTATCCTAATACTGCAACTGAACGAAGGCTACGAGCTGATGTTTCTGGAGCGTGGCCGAGCTAGAGGCAACCAAATAATTATGTGTTTATTCTTAACATATATACGCATGCATTTTGATATTAATCAAGCTAATTCGCTAACGCAAGAAGATCAAAACCGCATAGTTTCATCACTTTTAAATCACTTTTTTCAACATCTGGCAAAATATTCGTGCGTCGGAATGCTGAGACTTATGTTGTACCCGTAAAATAATGATGAAAGCGTAATTAGGAAGTTATATGATGACAGATAAGTTCTGAATTGGTTATATTTATGTTAAGATTTTAGTAATGACATTTTTACAATGTTCGACTTAATTTGGATAATTTGCCTCGGTTTGAAATTCTTTCATCTATAATCTCAAGTTCGGGTCTTGCTAATCTTGATCCTGACCTAAATATTCCAATGCAATCAAATTTCAAATACTACACAACTGATGAGTTCCAAAATAATACTGAAATAATAAACTGCTCTAACCAGTAACTTTCTGTCTTGCACTCTAATATCCGAAGTCTAAATGCTAATTTTGATAGTTTTAATGAATTATTAGTTGAATTGAATCACAATTTTTCTTTAATTGGTTTAACTGAAACTAAGATATTAAATACAAATGAGCAATGTGTCAATATTGAAATCCCAGGTTATTCATTTATCTTACAACCAAGCCTCAGTAATGCAGGCGGAGCTGGGTTCTTTGTACACAGAGAATTTTACCGAGTTAAAGCAACTCTTTTTGGAGGGTTAAAATAACTTCTTGGTGTAGAGTTATTTTTCTAGAGTTATTTTTACTCTGAAAAGAGCGTTATTTTAATTATCCTTCCAATAATCGGAGTTGAAATAACACTATCTAGAGAGTTTAAAAGAGAGGAGGTTATTTTAACTTCCCAAGGGAGTTATTTTTACTGCATGAGAGTCAAATCAACTACAGTTACGGAGTAAAATTCACTCTAATTATGAAGTTAAATCAACTCCTGTTTCATGGTAAAATCAACTCGAATTTCGGAGTTTAAATCACTCAAAATTTAGCGTTAAAACAACTAAAACGTCGGAGTTAAAATTACCTAAAATTTCAGAGTTATATCAATTCGCATTTCAGAGTTAGCTAAATCAGCGAAAACATTAAATCGCACTTCGGAGTTAAATCAATTCGAACTTCAGTCTGTTCAGAGTTGAATGAACTCAAAACTGAAGATTTGAGAGATTCGAGACTCTGGAGTTAAATTCATTCGAAGTTTGGAGTTAAACCAATTCCAGCTTTAGAGTTAAATCAAGTAAAACTTCAAAGTACAATCATTCCGAATTTGAGAGTTAAGTCAATTCGAACTTCAAAGTTAAGTTAACTCAAATGTAAACCTGTACATAAAGTAAATTTTACAATAGACAGTGACCATAGACAATCCAGAAGATGTCTTCTGGATTGTTTATGCGGTGACTCTAGCTTGAACTCTTCTCATCTCCCTTTCCCGCGTATTTCATATCCACGTTCCAAATATGGTCAAAATCATTCCTATGATGCATTTCGGTCAGGCACACTTCGGGCTGTGCTTCGGGTTTCTTTTTCTGTTTTTCAAGACTTTTTTGTTCATGTCGACTGTTGTCGGACTTGTCGCACTGGTTAAAATAATTTAATACACTTTGTCGCTAACTTAGGAAGTCTTTTTATTGAAAGTTACAAGTAGCAACTGCTTAAGGAGACAATAGATGGTGAGTACATTTTTAAAATTTGGTTGGCAAGCATAAACTGCATGGTGAACGTGAACAGCCATAAAACAGCCGCGGCGCAACTAAGCCTAGTAAATTCACACTATCTTGAATTTTTTAATTTCCTTTACGGTTTTTCAAGATATTCCAACAATTTGCACAGTTTTTTCTATTTTTGAAGTCTTTTTAATTATTTTCAGGCCGTAAGGATTAGGGAATTTACTTTTAACTTTACTTTGAAAACAAAAAATTAAGGCTCTTCATTTATATTAAAAACTGAGTGTATATTTCGTACACATTCGTGAACACAGCCACTGTAGAATATTTAAACAATTTAGTGATAACTTTATGATTTTTAATTGTGTGTGAATCTTGTCAGTTTACGTAAAATACGACATTGTTTTCGAAAAGGCTAACGCCAAGAGGGGTTTGCATTTTTGTCAAAATACAAAAGTAAAGAAGTTTCAGTGTCTGGGAAGTGTGTAGGAAAATTACCCTTTCAGTGGAAGCATCGTCACCAAAGTCGAGCAAAGTCCAAAGTCTTTACTTATTTTCTACTTTAAAGCATGCTTAAACTGTGCAGGAGCAGGATGTGGAGGGTTTGAAACGGAAATTATCCGAATCGGAAGCCAATGAAACGATAATCAGGCTACTGTTGATGAAGAGGTTGGCATTTTCTATTTATTTAGTGATATTAGTTCATGCTAAAATATTTGCACTTTTAAAATACACGATTCCCTCCGGTTGGGAAAAAGGATTATGAAAATTTATAAATGCCCATGTATGCAGGCCCATTGTTAACTTCTGCTTGCATACCATCGTGTGATTTAATAGATTTGTTAATTGTGAATTTTACGAAGATTCAGTTAAAATATAATCCCCGAGCCGGTGCGGAGCACCGTGCGAGGGTACTAATTCCGCCCGGAGATTAGGAATTACACCCGGGACCCGGGAGAACATAGCGGAATCCAAAGTTGCCCAAATGTCATGGACGTTCAATGGTCATGGTACTTGTGCGCATGCGCGAAGTGCGAACGAGTGTAGACTGGTAATCAGCAACTTCCTGATTGGCTAAGACGAAACGTTTGTGTTTCAGTGAAAAACGTCAGCAATTTAACTGTCATTTTGCAAACTATTTTTTAAAAAAATGTTTCGAAAACAAAATATGAAATGTGGAATCAAATAACAGATAAAACACTGGGAAGAGTTTAAAATATTATCAGAACTGAAGGAATTAGCGGTGAAAAGGAACAACTCGATTATAATCCTTGAAATGGTAGGAGTCTATTTTGTTTATTTCGAGGTTTATTTCGTGTTTGCTGTACGAATACATTTTATGACCTTGGTACAGTATGTCGTTTTCCTCGGTTTTGCGAAGACGTGACCGACTATTCAAGGCTTTACATCATCGTTTTAACTTGCAAAAGAGTCCTTAAAAGTGTAATTCGGAGTTTTAATATATCAAATATCACTTTAAAGGTTTATATATAGTCGACTGCAATCACTGCATGAATTTAATAATCGAAAAACAACATTCGACGTTCACTGCTTGGTTATTTATATTATTTGGGCTGTTTTGATGTTTTGAGGGTTTAGCTATAATGGAGTATTAACTCTCACTTAAACTGTGAAAGTCTATAACTTAATGCAACGGAAAGCAGCAGGAAAATGGGTGATTTCACTTCACCTTTAGTCTTTACGACTGTGTTTGTTTCCGAAATATTTGAAACATCAGCTATCGGCTTTACATTTAGGACATTTCATAATATTGAAGGTTAGGTCTAGCTAGCTCAGGAAATATTTTGCTTCGTTTGAAATGGCGAGGGGTTGCTGCATGCATGTATTTCTAGTTACTGAGGAAACATATTTGAATGATGTTTTCATAGTGCATATACATCTATCAATACTGGTATATTTTCCCACTCAGTATACATGCTTGTTCAGTACAACTGAAATCTTGACATAGTGGATTTTTTTGTGTACTGTGCCCATCTTTTGCCCCTGCATGTTGGGCCAAATCGGATTTGACAGAGTCTTTAATGTGATTTGTGTAATTGTTTGTGTCTACATATTTTCGATGCTCAGTCTTTAAGGTTATCCACTGATGAGTTACTAAGAACTATTGGCCTAAAATGTGGACAAATCATTGCAATTAGAAAACCATTTCCTAGTTCTTTGGATACAAGCACTAAAGATCTGCTGCTCCATGGCCTTAATCAACTATTCCTATGGTATGATTGTGTTTAATATGTTCAGGCAACTACTACTAAAGGATGCAGTCATCTCATTTGTTGTCAACATATCTGATTTTTGAGTCATTTTCTACATTTCCTTTTTTATGTTTTTTTGCTGCCAAATTATAATGAACACAGACCCCCAATGCAATCATTTCTGCAGAAAAGCAGGAATCTGCCAAAACAAGTCATGTGAGTAATCAATATTAATATATATATATATATATATATATATATATATATATATATATATATATATATATATGTATATATGTATCTTAATTTTGTTCTCCTAAACTACCGTACCACCTACATTTACCCAGTTAAAAAACAAAGGAAGTGCAAAAGCCTAAAAATCTATAAACTTGTACATTATTTTTCACACATACAGTTATAGTTAGCTTAGAAACAGATTTGCCACCTTAAGGCCCTGGTGCAATTTTTCTTGCAACTTGCACTTCAATTCTTCTTTTGGGAGATGTAGATTTGGCAACTACTGAACTTTTGTCTTTATTACGCTCCATTGCAGTTCTTACACTTACATTTTAATGACTCCTCACTAATTTACAGCTCTTTAAAGTAGAATTGCAATGCCAGTTACAAGGAAAATTGTGTGTAACTGTGTAACAGGGCCTTTAGAATTTATAGGTGGGAGATAAGGAGGCAAAAAAGATGTTTGCTTTCACCAGTCCACTCCTTATAAGCATCTCATCCACAAATTTTGAAGCAGCAAAATGTAGTACTGTCATGTAGTATTTGACTGACTGTCATGACTGTCATGTAGTATTTATTCATTCATTTGAATTATTATGTGATATAATATTGCTGATTAATACATGACAGGTTTAGACATGACCATTCATTTCCAAGGAGAAAACTTATTTACTTAGGAGCAAATAGAACTAGGTTGCATGAAATTGCACTTTTTAGAATACTAATTACTAAAAAATCATTGTTGTTTTAATCAACAGAGCAATGCATCAGTGTCCAGTGCTTTTGTGAAAACACCTGAATCTGGAAAAAAGAATATATTATCCATAGAGCTGCCTGAAAAGCATCGGTAATTAAAGCAATTCTATGAGAAAATAAATCAAATATATCATATATCAAGTCAGTTATAGTCAAGTTATATATATATAACGTTAGTAATATTTATTTGCATTGCAGTTATCTCCAAGAGTACAACAGGGACTAAGAGAAGGAAAGTTGATAGACTAAGCCAGAAATGAGTATGTCTGAGATGTGTGCAGTGTAATTCGTACATTTTCATTGTATATATATTATGTATGCATGTACAGTATAGGCATATAGTTAATTGTTTATTCCTATTGTTTTTATAATTTCATAACTTAATCCTCGTGTGTGAAACTTTTAGTGAATTATGCTTACTATATTTATGTAGCTACCCCTATATAATTATAAGCCAATCAGAAAAAGGCCAGTTATATTCAGTCCAATTAATTGGCTGACCATAACTAAGAATGTTCAATTACCCTCTGAGTTTACATGAGTGTAGACAATATGTTTTATTTGCGATTTAAAAGGATCAAATAAGTTATATACTGTTACATTTTCATGTTATAGATTTAAAGTTAATAACTGCATATTTTTATATGTTTTATATACGTGTTTTTAAATAAAGGTGATATTTTAATGATTGGGAGTTGTTTTCACTCGTTTATTGTGTGTGAGTTTAAATAATCCTGCAATACGGATGATGACTCTTTTTGGGGTTAAAGTTACCCTCTTCTTATTTGTTTTATTAACTCCATCGCCAATAGTTATAATAACTCTATATTCGTTAGAGTTAAAGTAACTCTGAAATACGGATTATTCTGTCCCCGTTTTTTAACCCCATTTTTAGGGTTAAAATAACTCGTTGCAACTAAGAGTAATTTTAACTCCACATTCGTTAGAGTTAAAGTAACTCTGAGATACGGATTATTCTGTCACCGTTTTTTTGACTCCATTTTTAGAGTTAAAGTAACTCGTTGCAACAAAGAGTAATTTTAACTCTATATTCGTTAGAGTTAGTAACTGTAAAATACGGATTATTCTGTCACCGTTTTTTTAACTCCATTTTTGGAGTTAAAATAACTGGTTAAAATTCTCTGTGTATCTAATCAATTGAGTTTCAACTTGCGGGATGATCTTTTAGTCTCAACAGTTGATTATGAAGCTTTGTGGATTGAGATTCACAGTAACATGCAACAAAATCCTCTGTGTGGTGTTATATATAGACACGCCAAAAGTAATATTGAAAACTTTATCAGTTTTCTTGATAGCTCCCTTGACAAAATTAATTGTGAAGGCAAGCTTTGTGTTGTTATGGGTGATTTTAATATAAATTTACTTAATACAGATTCCCATCAATTAACTGATGATTTTCTTAATACACTAGGCACTTATTTTTTTACTCCTCATGTTCTTTAGCCTATACTCGGATAACTGAGCATTCTGCTACATTAATCGATAATATCTCTTTCAACTCTATTAGTCATCATACAATTAGTGATATATGATTTGACTGACCATCTTCCAAATTTCTTAATTATTAACAGATTTGCTACCCTTCTTAAACATTTCAAACTCTATAAGAGAGATTATACCAACTATGATGAAAGCAAGTTTATCAATGATCTAGATAGGATAGATTGAAGTTCCTGAGACTAATGATGTGAATGCTATCTTTGGCTCTTTTTAGGTATTTTAAATTATCTAACATTATTGATAAACATATTCCTCTAAAACAGATTAATAGAAAGAAAATGAAGCACATGTCCAAACCTTGGATCACTAGTGCCATAGGTTTCTCTCTTAAGGTTAAGAATAATTTGTACAAAAGATACATAAAAACTAGATCAACCTATGCTCACAATAAATTCAAAGTATATCGCAACAAATTAAAAAAACTAATACAAATAAGCAAAAGCAGTATATTATAACGAATATTTTAAGTCTAACACGAGGAATATGAAGAATATTTGGGAGGGAATTAAACAGATTATTAGTGTTAAACCCCAAAATTGTATAAGGTTTCCTCGAAGATTATTCTAGATGGTTGTGAGATAGCTGATACAGCATCGATTGCCAATGCATTTAATAATTTCTTTGTTGGTATTGGTGAGAAACTAGCTAATTCAGTTCCATCTGTGAATAAATCACCTATATACCCTTTATGACATCTAACCAGCAAAATAGTTTGTATTTCAATCCTATTTCTCAAAATGAAATAGAAGATGAAATAAATGCTTTAAATCCTGGTTACAGCATCCCGATAAAATTCACAATTAAAATTTGAAAAAATTCAAATACTTGATTTTGACTCCTTTAGAAATATTATATAATCTATCAGGGTTTTAGCAGTTTATAAAAAAGAATCACAAATGAATATATCAAATTACCGACCTATATCACTACCTTCTGTTTTCAATAGAATCTTAGAGAAATTGATTTACCATAGACTTATTAATTATATTGATAAGTATAACTTATTGTATAACAGACAATTTGGATTTCGTGCCAAGCATTCCACTCTCTTGGCCATTTTATCTATTACTGATAATATGCAAAAAGCTGTTGAAGACAATGTCTACTCCTGTAGAATTTTTCTAGATTTTAGCAAAGCTTTCGATACTGTCAATCATAACATCCTATTGTGTAAGCTTGAATATTATGGAATTAGAGGTTTGGCAAAAAAATTGTTTATTTTCCAACTTAAAAAATAGAAAACAATTTGTTTCCATTTGTTAGTGCATGTCGAGTCTGAGCTGAAAAATATCAGTTGTGGAGTAGCTACCTCAAGGCAGTGTTCTCGGCCCCTCTCTACATTAATTATTTTCAAAGTTGTTCTAAACTTTGTGATTTTAATTTATTTGCGGACGATGCAAACCTTTTTTACGCTAATAAAAGTTTATAATCACCCTTGAGAAGGGAGTTAATAATCACTTAGTAGACATAAATGTATGGCTCTGTGCGAATAACTGTCACTTAATTTTGATAAATCGAATTTTTTTATCTTCCATACAGATCAAAAAATAAATTATACTCAGTAAGATTGGTTTTAAATAATTGCGACTTAAAAGAAGAAACTAAAACTCGTTATTTAGGAATTTTGATTGACTGTAATCTAAGCTTGAAACCTCACATTTCTCATTTTTGTAGGAAAATTAAGCGCAATATTGGTGCCTTATCAAAATTACGCCATTATATTAACATTAATGTACTTATCAATTTGTACTATTCATTAGTCTAACCTTATTTTTTTTATATGGCATTGTCATATGGGGTAATACTTATTCTTTAACAACTAAACTATTATTCATTCTGCAAAAAAGAGTTATTCGAATTATTACTTTTTCTAACTTTCATGATCACACTAATCCACTATTTATAAAACTGAAATTATTAAAATTTGTCGATTTGCTGTATCGCATACTGCTCTGCTGATGTTTGACTTTCATGCAGGTAACATTCCGGAATATTTTAGGGACTTTTTCACACCTGTCTACAAAATTCACCGATACAACACAAGACTTACTTCTCGTTCTAGTTTTTCATTACCTAAGGTGCGGACTAATTATTGTAAATTTAATATTAGATTTATCGGTGCTGGAACTCGATTGATGAGAGTACAACGAATCTATCAAAGACAGCATTTAAAAAATGTCTGATTGGCTTAATCCTGGACAAGTATTCAGCATAAAACAATATTTTGCTTGAAAACCATTATGTTTTATATTTTTTGTCAATTCACTGAATTATTGCTTTGTTTTGAGATTTTTTTCTTTTTCTTTTCTCCAGTCTGTGTTTACAGTATGTGCTACTATTTATATATAATAAGCTAACTAACTAGGCTAGCGCTAGTCTTGTAGTAAGACTATTTTAGTTGGCTTATTACCAAAGTATTCAAATGTATATATAATGTTTAGTATATTTATGTGTATATTTTTCTTTTTCTTTACTGTATATATACATACACCTATTCTATTTTTGTGTATTTTATTTCGTATATGGTAATGGTAATAAAATACTTATATATATATATATATATATATATATATATATATATATATATATATATATATATATATATATACCAATCTGAAACTGACCAGGAACCAGTGGATGAACCTGAAACTGACCAGGAACCAGTGGATGAACCACTGTATGAAAATGCACCTGTCATCCTTGGTCAGTGTCTACTACTGATAATTAACAAATATTGGATGAGGTTGAGTGTGATATCGAGAATTATCAAGCCGAAGTTTGCATTATTCGCCGAAGAGAAGCTGAGTTCAGAGCTGAGAAGCATAATTCTCGATATAATGCGAAAACCGAATTCAATAATTGTTTTATTATGTATTCCCTTTTTAGAGAGGAAGCCTGCGGCATTAGACAACAAACTAGCGGCAAAAAATTACATCACCTACAGATAATTTTCAATGCCTTGTAGGTGGCAAGACATTGAGAATTATCAGTAGGTTTTTAGCCAATCACAATCGAGATTGCATTAGTAATGCATAATAATGTCATTTGTTCTTGGCAATAACCTAACCAGTGTGGCTGTTGGTAACCTCCTTAAATTGTTGAGCATGATACTCCTAATTGGATCTTGTTTGCCTCAAACAAAATATTTATTCGACAAATATTTTAATGGTTTTCGAGATGGACTTGAACATAAACTTTATTGCCCTAATTGCCAAACACTTTTTCAAACTTGTAAAAAGTTAAAGTGTGTCATTTGCAATGTAGAATTTGAACAACACAGACTATTAGAACAAGGGTTTTTTTATACCCCCCAATTGAAAAACAATTAAGGGACTTCTTACAAGAAAATAGTGCATCAGATGGTTTAGATTATCGTTTTAATCGAGAATTCTAACTTCTGATAGAAATGCTTTTAATTTGTCTTTTATTTGTGACGGTGTCTCAGTTTTTCGCTCTTCCTCATTTAGTATTTGGCCATTACAGGGTATGATTAACGAACTTCCTGCCAAAAAAAGAAAGCAACATATTTTCTTGATTGGTCTTTGGTTTGGGCCAACCCTTACAAAAATTTCACATAACATTTCATATATGAAATAGGAGTTTCATATATGAAATGATCATTTTCATATATGAAATGAAAAACTTCATATATGAAATTGCATTTTCACATAAGAAAAGTGACTTTCATATATGAATTTTGTTTTTTTTAATATTAGTTTTCCTGTGTAAAAAAACAATTCCGACATGAAATTTTTGGTTTCTCCAATGAAATAATTTAAATTGTGTATGACGTTTATTTTCACATGTGAAAAGTAAATTTCATATATGAAATGCTAGTTTCACATATGAAATTTTGGTTTCACATATGAAATTTTGGTTTCACATATGAAATTTTTGTTTCATACATGAAATTTTAGTTTCACATATGAAATTATTTAAATATCATATGAAATTTTACGTTCACATGTGAAAAATAAATTTCATAATATGAATTGCTACTTTCACATATGAATTTTAATTAATTTTTAATGAAGTTTTCCTATATGTAAAACGATGCGTGCATGAAATTTTGGTTTCTCCAATCAAATCATTTATACCGTATATGACGTTTATTAGTTTTTACATGTGAAAAGTGAATTTTCATATATGAAGTGCTAATTTCACATATGAAATTTTTGTTTCATTTGTCAAATTTTGGTTTTTCACATATGAAATTTTTTAAATATCATATGAAATTTTACGTTCACGTATGGAAAATAAATTTCATAATATGAATTGCTACTGTCACATATGAATTTTGATTTATTTTTTTATATTACGTTTTCCTATAAGTAAAACGATTCATTCATGAAATCTAGGCTTCTTTAGTAATAAAATGATTTAAATGGTCACCATTCATGTCATTAAATTTCACCTGTACATGTGAAAAATAAATTTCATATATGAAATGCCAGCTTCACATGTGAAATTTGTTTCACATATGAATAATTAAAAGCTGATACATATGAAATTTCACCTTCACATGTGAAAAGTAAATTTCATAAATATGAAATTTCTTTCACACGTGAGATTGTAAAAAGGAATTTGGTTACCTAGGAAATTACTTTCGAGCGCAAAGCTGTTTATGAAATGCCTTGGTCGCTACAGGGACGTTTATACAAGAAGCGGGCAACACAAGTTGTATCTCAAAATTCGTGATGCAGTTGCATCTCAAAATTCTTAATTGGACTGTAAAACGTCTTCACTGGTCAAATCCCACTAAAGCCTGTGGTGTTTTTATATTTATTTCATTTAAAGCGCCTGGGAGCGAGGATGACCCGATTGCTACCCGACGAGTCCTCGATCGGCTTAGTCGGCATTGCTCGTAAACGAACCGTGCTTCGGAAGAACGTCTCATATTACATCACGTCTCAAACTTTCTGCTGGCTGTCGTAAATATGGTTTGGGAAACTTGTTTTCGCGTAAAAATTTAATATATATCCGTGTGGAATAGTCCAAATATAGATATAAATGGGACATGTGGTTAAGCTGTGGTTAAGCTGTGTTCATGTGGTCTATTTAACAATTAGACAACGAGGCGGAGTTGTCTATGAAGCGAATAGTCAACGAGGCGAAGCCGAGTTGACTATTTGCTCATAGACAACGAGGCCGAGTTGTCTAATTGTTTTAGTATAAACTATAACATTAATTTACAACTAGGAAACACAATACAAAAATACACAAAAGTATTAAAATTGAATTTTAAATTTTTAATAACTTATTCTCCCGGAAATGACGCGCCAGGTCACGCGTTACAATATGCGACATTTTAGAACTGTCAAGTTTCAACTTTCAACTGTTTTCAACACGTCGTCTTGAATATCATCATATTATTTATCAAAGAAAATATTAGAGAAGAAATATTACAGTATTTATATAAATCACACCGTTATTTCACAACAAAGTCTCCGATGAACCAGCAGTTAAGAAGAATAATTGTTGTTTACGATCGAAACAGTGCAGCCATGGAAGCTGTACGACTGCGGTCCTCTCATCTCGATATTGGTTTCCTTTTGAATATTTTCGTTATTCAAACTCAAAGGCATCACTGTCAGAGTGGATGTTGTTGGAAGTGACACTTTGCTGGAAGTGGTTTCTAATGCTGCGACGATATTATGAGTGGATTGATCGGCGTCTCCAGATATAAAACGACTTAAAATATTTGACATATTTTCTTTTTGTTGGAATGATGCTCTTGCGTTGTACGCCTGGATTGAAGTATCCGATTTATGTCCAGTGACTGCCTTGATGTGTCTAGCCTCTACGTTGCTGTCTGAAAGTACCGTGACTGATGTTGCTCGAACACAGTGGTTTGTTAGATGTGGGATTATTCCAGCTGCTTTAGATATGGTTTTCATCATGTTGGCTAGACTGCATTCGCCAAGGGGACTATTGGAATACCAGATCTCGTCCTTGTCTGGCTGAAACTTGGTGGACATTTCTCGTGGACGTTGAAATAGGACCTGTTGCGTTGGATGTAAATGGCTCAAGAAGTTTTCAATGGTTTTCACTGGGCACCGTCGGGAATTGACCACTTCAAACATCTTCCCGTCTGATTCATCCGTGTTGTCGTTGAGGCCTCCTTGGTGATTTTTTGTTCCTAACAAGCGGTCGCGTCGAAATTCAAAATATCGTCGGCCTTGTGCTGTAGTGTGGAGAACAAGCATATCTTTCGTGAGCTTTCTCTGGTTTTCTCTCCCTCGTTTACCAAAGTAAAACGTAACGTAGAACCAAGCCGTTTGTAAAAGCTTCCGAGGGTTCTTGGAGTCATAGTCGGTAAGTTCGCCGCTTTCGTACAGCTTTTGTAGTTGCTCGCTTGTTATCGGATGCTTGTGGATAACCGGACCGACTTTGCCCTCTCGAGTGAGTTTCTTGCAGATAGCATTTAGTGTTTTATTAGCTTGTTCAAACACAGGGTCGCCGATAATGGACCAGGGTTTGTTTTGAGGCGGTTGTTTTAGATAGCGGTCGATGGCAGATCTTATTGCACGAAGGGTTGAAACTTTAAACTCACTCCCGTCTTGTTTTCTTGCAGCGGCATAGAATTTTTTCAGACAGAGAGAAAGCTCGACTTTTTCCATTTCTTCAATTTGTGTACAAAATTCTTGTTGGCTTGCAAACCATTCTGAAATTTATTTCGTATATTAAAGGGAAGAAAATATTTTAATTGTTGTTCGCGTAAAATGTTTTAAAATTCAGTTTAAATATAAAAATTCAATTAAGTATACGTTATTTTTATGTATTTTCTTACCCTTAAAAATTGCAATTCCGTATTTTGTTGCTTTTTTTGTTTTTTCTGGTACGGAATTGTCCAACAAGTCGTCCAAAAAATCTTCAGATACTTCGGCGAAACGCGAATTTTCCGCCATTGTTTTGAATTTTGCTACTAGTAGGCTATCACTAATAGCCTACTAGTAGCGTAGCCAATCAGAACGCAGGAAAAGTGATAGCCTATTAGTAAGTTTATACTAATAAAGAATGGTTTTAAAGAAATTGTCGGGTATGTTATTGTTTGTGTTGATCAGCTTGACTTGATCTTATATATACATTATATAAAATCACAGATAAATCACGGGCAATTTGTTCAATTTATATTGATTACTCTTAATCCTTTTTCATATAACAGTAATATGAAAATACGAGGGAATTTATATTGTTCCTTATGACTTATGTTATTTTTTACACATGAAATTATTGATGGGAAAGCCATGTCTTATCTGAGTCAGACCCAGGCTGACTCAAAATCATCACAGTCATCAATCACCAGGAATAACAATCAGTGGAATAAGATTTCTAAAATTTTGTTGTTTTCAATTAGCTGAAAATTAAGATTTGTTCACAATGAACTGACCAGAGTGCTGTTGTTGCAAAATAATGCTGCGAATAATGTATTAGTCATTCATTTGTTTTTTTACATTGACCTATTAGCTGCATGATCAGGTAATTGAACTTTACAAGAACTTTGGTCTTTCAAAGATAGACTTGTGTCCATTGCACATCATGGCCTATTGAAAGAATGCTAATAACATATTGACAAAATCTGTAAGAACTAGTATACAAATACATTGTATAATAGTAACACAATTATTTTTTTTGCTCTTAGTTGATGCCCACATCACCTGCTTGGGTTGAAGTGAACCAAGCTAAAAATGAATAAAAATGGACAAATATACTGTTGGCAGCCATTGAGTTAGAAACACACTAGGAATCATCAGTCTTCGGCTGGCAAGGGAAATAAAGACAAACAATTTGATCTAGCTAAATGATAAAAGGTATCTATATCCGTTTTCTATATTTATAATATGATTAATAGCAACTGGCATGATTTTTCCTTAGTCGTAGAAGCTTTATATACTAAAGTTGTGATAAAGCTGATAAAAATTTGTGTAGCTAGGAATAGTCTTGTATGATGAAATTAGTTTATAATAATTTTGAAAGTGAGATAACCTAAGTGCATTTGAATAAACTGATATATTTACTTTTTATTAGAATGTGTAAGGCAGAACAGCAAAGACAGTGAAAAGGAATGCTATGTGCAAACAGATGAAGGATGAAATCATGAAAAAATGCCATGCAAAGGAAAAATAATAATTGAACTTGATAAGTGTTCTTCTTTAAATGTTAGCCAAATTGTTTTTTTTAATTGTATACATAAATATGTGTATGTATTTAAAATGATTAACTTTTGTATTTAGATTTTTATTGTATAAAACCTCTTAAGTTTTAATCCAATAAATGTTCAATCCATAGATTGAAATTCACTCATGCAGCCATTTTATTATCTTCTAACTATTTCATATGTGAAACATTTCATTTTTGAAATCATTTCATATATGAAATATTCTTGGGTAAAAATCATATACATATATGAAATGATTTCACATGTGAAACTGTTTCACATGTGAAATTTTCATATATGAAGTGTTTCAATTCCACACAAGGTTTCATATATGAAATATTTCACATATGAAACAATTTCACATGTGAAATTTTCATATATGAAACAATTTCACATGTGAAATTTTCATATATGAAACAATTTCACATGTGAAATTTTCATATATGAAGTGTTTCAATTCCACATAAGGTTTCATATATGAAATATTTCATATGTGAAATCGTTATGTGAAATTTTTGTAAGGGAAGTAAACCAAATATTCTGCAATTTTTGGAACCATTTACTTGCGAAATGAAGTGGCTTGGGCCATTTGGAATGAAATGGTTACGGGCTGGTGTTGAAGTCTGCTCCTGGGTTTTCGCTTGCATTTGGAGCTTAAAGTATTTGTTGTTGTCGATAGTGTGTGTTTTGCTTTCGCAAGGTCTATTAGTGTGGTGCGGCCAACCTGGCTTAGAAGGGATAGTGAGTGTGGTCGACTTTGTAATAATTTTTTTGAAGTGCTAGAAATTGATTCAGTGTTACAAATAGTGAGGTTAAATGACATCAAAGACAAATTTATATTATTTTATCCGCAGAGTTTTGATGTAAATAACTTTATATGTAGATTACCAAATATATTTGATAGAGATTAATTGTAAATAAGAAGACAACTTATTCATTATAAGTTTGAAATACTTTTTCATGTCAACCACATTTTGTTCACATAGGTTTATACATTTTCACATGTAAGCTTTGTTTGATTGCATATAAACCACATGTGATCACATATGAACCACTTGTTTGTAGAGACATTTCTCATGTGAACCACATGTGTATCTTATATAACCACATCTGCATCACATGTGGTTCACATGTGGCCTTTATAGAACCTCATGTTTTCACATGTGAACCTCATGTGTATCCAATAAAACCACACGTGCATCACATGTGGTTCACATGTACCATCCATATAACCACATGTGAACCACATATAATAACATGTGATCACATTTGAAGCACATGTGATCACATGTGAAGCACATGTGAAACACATGTGGTTTGTATGTGTTTTTTTTCGTAAGAGTTAAACGGTCGGTTAGCTCCTTGTAAAACGACATACCAAGCTCGTACATGTCAAAATAACAATGCATTCTTACAGCAAACACTGAATAAGCAAAATATAGTTACCTACCACTTCAAAGATTACTAACTACGAGTCGTTCCTATTTCACCAACTGTTTCTGTGCTGTGATGATCTTTAAATCTTTTATTTTTGTTTTAATATTTGACTCCATGATTTCATTTTATATTTTTAACTAGAAATACATGCATGCAGCAACCCCTCGCTATTTCAAACCAAGTACACAATTTCCTGAGTTAACCTGACCTAAACTTATATTATGAAATGACACAAAACTCAAACCAGTCTTATTATATTTTACTGAGTATATTATAGCTAATGCTTCCATCATTCAATACAAAAATAATGATCATAAAGCTAGTATAAACATTGCCCGTTCAATTTTGCTGCATTATACCATGCCAGCAATTAAGTAACGGTTTAAAATCGAGGTTTCAAACGATTAAAACAGTACAAAATCTTCACAGACAAAGAAAAAACTTCAAATGTTATTTCATTTTGTATTTTGCAGTCAACGCCGGCGGATAAAAGTTTTATACTTTATAAATATAGTGTGTATTTTTTATACCAAAATTCAAATTATACTTTCAAAAACACTTTTTGAAATTAAAGCAAAGGTGTAATAGCCTTTCACAGGTTTAAGCGTTTTCAAAAAAAGCTGAAAATTTAACAAATAAACGGCATACAAAGCTGAAAAGTATACAAATACGGCTCATTCTTATTGCGAAACAAATACGAAATAAACAAAGTAAACACGTACCCTTTGTCTTTGAAAACATTTATAAGTTTGCAGATTATGAATTATTCTTCTTACACGGCTTTGTCTTGACCGTATCCACGTTCATCTTTGCTAACTGTCATGCTTCGTATATCTTGTTTCTTCTCGTTTTACTTTCTTTGCACAAAGTTTATGAAACGCTTTTACAAAAATGTTTACGAAGTGACAGTTAATATAAATTGCTGACGTTCTCATTGAAATACAAACTTTCTGTCTTAGCCAATCAGAACGTTCGTTGATTACCAGACGTTACTCGCGCATGCGCATAACTTACAAAACCACCCAACGTCGACCGTCCATGACAAAGAATTTGGGCAACTTTGGATTCGCCTATATTCTACCGGGTTCCGGGTGTAATTCCTAATCTCCGAGCGGAATTAGTACCCTCGCAGGCGCTCCGCGCCCGCTCGGGGAAAAATAGTTTGAAAAATGACGGTTAAAATGCTGACGCTATCATGCATGCTCTCTTTTTGTCTTAGCCAATCAGCAAGGCGTAGACGACTGTTCTTTCTTCATTCAAATTTCGCGCATGCGCACAACTACCATGACCATTGAACGTCCATGACATTTTGGCAACTTTGGATTCCGCTATGTTCTCCCGGGTCGCGGGTGTAATTGCTAATCTCCGGGCTGAATTAGTACCCTCGCACGCCGGCTCGGGGATTACTGTTTATTGCAGCTTGCTTTAAAAAACAGTGGAAACAACACAAGATTGCGAAAACACTATTTGTTGAACATTGATATAATATTTTAACAACAAGTCGCATTATAATTTTATATTACCTATACTTACATCTGTATCATTTTGGAATGAATGGACGACTTGCGCTTTAGACTAATTTCTTACCTCGGAGATAAAAAGGACATTTTCTGGTAGTGCTTACTAAAATAAGAAAAACTGCCAAGTTTGACAGCGAATTGTTGTAAAATACGGAAAATATAGCCATGCGAAGTTGTCGATTTTTGTATACTTTTGTATTACGACCGGAAGTTTGTAACTAAATTAGTTACACATTTCCGCACGTAATACAAAAGTATACAAAATTTGCCAACATCGCATGGCTATATTTTCCGTATTTTACAAAATTTCGCAGCCAAACTTGCCAGTTTTACTAATTTAAGTACGATCTTTCTAGCTGGGCTGATTTATTTTCCTCTAGTTACTTCGATTAAAAGTTAGTCTAAAGCGCAAGTCGTCCATTGTCCCACGATAGTCTCGCCAATTGTCTTACATGTCCCATATCATTACCCACCACACAATGAATTCATTATTAAAATAGACAGGGCAGTTGTTATTGAAATAAATCAAAATTTTAACCCGAATTTTAACTTTTACCAGATTAAACAGTTTGACCTTGTACAGAAACAGCTATGTGCGCTGTGTTTCTTCCATATATTTTATTTAGACCTGTAACCGTTATGGCTCACAGAAAACAATTTTTGATCTTAATTTCCGCAACATAGATAATTTTAAAGTTGTCTTTCTATAATTTGCAGCATTCCATATTTTGCCAATTCAAATTAACAGGCGAAAATATTCTCTTTTAGGCACGCGAAAGTTTTCGTAGTGTAGTGGTTATCACGTGCGCTTTACACGCGGAAGGTCCCCTGTCCAATCCTGGGCGGAAACATTTCGCTTTCTTTCCCTGTTTTAAAGACACAATTTTGCCATTCTTGTTCTGCTGAATGATATTTGGGTTTTCCGTAGTGTACCGGTTATCACTTGCACCTAACGCGGCGCAACATCCTAGTTCAATCCTGGGCGGAAACATTTCGCTCTGCTTCCCGCTTTTAAAGACACAATTTTGCCATTCTTGTTCTGCTGAATGTTCTTTGCGGTTTTCCGTAGCTGCCTCGTCCACAGGCTCTTCTTAATTTTTGGCTTATTTCATGTATATGTCAGTTTTACATCATTGAAGCGATTGGGGACGAGGCAGTTTCCGTAGTTTAGCGGTTATCATGCACGTGCGCCTAACACGCGCAAGGTCCCAAGTTCAATGTATGTATGTATGTATGTAAAACTTTATTTAAAGACACTAGCCTCGACAACAAGAAGTTGATTTCCACGGGGGGCGTCTACAAGATTAAAAATTACAAAAATGTAGGAAGATAAGGACTATGTACAAGTTGGTGTGATCCCAGATATTATGGTTAGAATATATTCGTTACGTTGGAGTTACGTTTCAACTGGCTTTTGAATGCATGAATAGAGTCAGCCAGTCTGGTGTTGATAGGGAGACTATTCCATAACTTAGCTCCACTATATTTAAAGCTCTTTTTTAAAAATTCTCTTTTGGGCTTAGGAAGAGCCAGATTTGTATGACTATTTCTAAGTTCATAGTTAGTTTGCATATGATTGCGTCTAATCCAGGTTTCTTTCAACGTGGGACCTACGTAGTTGTTCAAGACTTTGTACATTAGTATTGATTTTCTAGTACGTCGTCTTGTCTCTAAGTTGTCCCAATCAAGATATCGAAGAACATCAGCAGATCTAATGTCGTAACTCGCACCGGTTATGATTCGGGCTGCACGGTTTTGAAATTTTTGCAGTTTATCCCTTAAGTTTTGATCACAGACACCCCAAATAGGAGAACAATAATCAAAGTACAGCTGAATCAGAGCCGGATAAAATTGTTTGGTTGTTGGTGCGAATGGTTTAATACGTCTCAATGTACCCAAACCTGCACCAACTTTTTTGCAAATCACCTAAATATGTGGACTCAAGGTAGATGATCAGAGGTAATTGACTTAATACGATGTTTGGAGCCAACAAACATTATTTTAGTCTTAGTTGGATGGTGTTGTAGTTTATTTCTAGAAAGCCATTCACCAATTCTATTCAAATCATGATTAAGATTTT